ATCATTTCCTATTTATATCTATAAATGGAACACCTGCATATGTACCACAAGAAGATTGTTATAGTTTAGGCACTAACACCTTTGTGTACCCACACATGCCCACAACCAAACTTACAGAAACACGTTTGGCACCAACAACTATGACAGACACAGTACAATCTATGGGTGACTGGACATTTTTAGTTTGTATTAACAACGACACCAAAGTTTCTTGCATAAATTTGAATGAAACAACTTATGATGACACAACTACAGAAATTCTAATACCACCAGGATGTTGGATGATTCATAATTGTTCAATTTTACAGAAAGGTAATGAAACATGGGTAACAGAAATATCTATACAATCAACTCATTTATATAGCACACCAAAATTATTCTTAGAAGACCTAGAACAAGAACATTATAAGGAATTCATAAAGAAAAATCAGGAGATACAAAAGATATCAGAACATAATCAAAAACAACTGGACTCCATTCATAAGAAAATAATGTCACAACAACATACATTAACTAGATCCCAGGAAGAAATACATCATTTAGTAGGATTGATAAGGACAAATACAATCCTACCCAAAACCTGGAATACAGATATTAAGAAATGTACATTCTTTGATTTTATGGCAAGGCTTATTCAGCTTGATTTTGTATGTACACCATTATATCATTGGTGGGAATTTTTCAAAGAAGCTCTTTATGTGGGAGCAATGATTTTTCTAACCATCTGTTTAATAAAGCTATTCATAGGATCCGCACGGAAAAAGAAATATTCAAAGCTGTCCAGAAAGACCTAATGAAGAATGAAGAACCAAATTACTGCGGAGCCTGTCGCAGGCAACACCATTACTACAATTATTGGTCACTCTTGTTACAACATAGTTATCATAACAAACTATTATGGTATAATAATGATAATAATTTGTTTTGCAAGATTTATTGTTTGAATATTCAGCTTATATGACTTGGTATGAGAATAATAGAATCTATAGAAAAATGAAAAAAATATATCTTCCAAAAGGGTTACATCAGCCTATCTCATTGATTACAAGAGGAACATCTAGAGAAAGCTATTAGATGCGCCGCAAAGACTTTGTAAACCCCTGTTTTACACAACCAGCTGGGACCCTCTTGTTAATGAGGGACCCTAATAGTGACACCTTTTATGCTGAGATCATCTCAGGTGTCAGGGGGTGGAATGTAATGAGCATTGTGAGCAGCCATGAGCTGACAGACTAATGTGACAGACATTACAAGCAGCCATCAGCTGACAGGCTGTGGTAACCAGATGATAAGGCTAAGTAGCTCAAAAGTGTGGCGTGTGAGTTTGCAGTGAAAGTAAGATTAAGGTTTGGAATTTCCCCGATGAGGTAATGTACAGACGCTCAGGCGTCAACCTCAGATTAAGAGTGTGTTAAGATAGGATAAGGAATTATAAGAGTATAAAAGACCAACTCAAACCCACTCATGTCGTCCGTCCGTCCGTCCGACCGACCGACCACCATCAATTATGTCGGGACGAGACCTGATCTGAGCGCTTACCGGTCCCCGTGTTCGCGACTACGTGGATCCGGAACTTTGCCGCTCGAGACCGAAGACGTCGCAGCTCGACCCTGCTGCCGAGCCTCGCCACGGACTTTGATTGTCAGGTTGTATACCCTGAATGATGTGTTGTGAGTGGGGTGACACCCAGACTGCTTGCTAGCAGAATGGGTTGGCACTTTGTATACCTTTTAATAACGATTGCTGTGTTCGCCCTAATTTGGTCTTGCTTCTGTGTGACCCTTGACAATAGAGAGGAAAGTGAAACTGAGATACCTCTCGCAGTCGTTACTCCGTGCCGAGATCCCGAAAGTGAAACCGGTGCTCGCGACACAGGTCAGTCTCAACTAATAGTGAGACCCTGTCTCAAAAAACCAAAAAAAAAAAAAAGGGATGGGGATGTAACTGAGTGGTAGAATACCACTGGGTTCCATCTCTAGTACCTAAAAAAATACATATACATGTGTGCATGTGCGCACACACACATATACACACACAGATGTATAGATGAGAGAGAAAAGCAAATACTTTTTTCAACTAGACTCGTTACCAGATTTTGGAGTACTGTGGTAACCTTCTAGAGGTGGTTTCTAGGTTCTTTCTGTCCTGAGTTGGTCAAGACAAGCACAAAACATAGCAAGGTTTCATGTTTATTTGTCAAGACAACCACAAAAGGTAGTAAGGTTTTACGTTTTTTTTGTTTTGTTTTGTTTTTTTTTGAGACAGGGTCTGACTATGTAGTGAGACTGACTTGGAACTCACTATGTAGCTCAGGTTGGTCTTGAACTCACAGCGATCCTCCTGCCTCAGCCTCCCGAGTGCTGGGATTACAGGCGTGCGCCACCATGCACAGCTAAATTTTACATTTATTAAAGGTAGGAAAAGAAATGTGCTCTGCACAGTGAGTTTGGGCCAAGTAGAAGTAGGAAAAGCAGTAATGTCAGGTCTGACTTAAGTAAGTCCTTCACAAACAAATGGGACAAAGCAAACGGGCTTCTTTTAGCAAACAATAGCAGCTTCTCAGTAAATAGGGCAAATGTACTCAAAATAAAGTCCTGGCACCAAGAATTGTCTACATTCCTAAGCAGACCACCCTTCGTCCTCCAAGTCACAAATATGTCACCCCAGATTCCTTAGCCTCTTCAATACCTATATAAGCCTAATTCCTTTCCCCAACAGATGCTAATATCTTTCTCTCCTTGAGTTCACCCATCCCCTCACGGATGAAATCTCTCCCAGCTAGCTGCCACTATCTCTCTCTCCCACTGTCAGCCCATCCACACAGGGAGGTGATAAACTTCAGCTTTTCCCAGCCAGCTACTAGACTCTCCTGATTTCTAGTCCCGGTTAACACTGGAATAGACTTTTCTTTCAAAAGTCTGTTTTTTTGACAAGTGGATTCTTTACAACAAGTACAATCTGCAGGATGAGAGAGGACACTGTGCATGGCAGAACACAATGGCCTAGAGCTCAACAGGACTGTGTTTTTATATCTCCCACTCCTCAGGCTGATGTTAAGTCTAGGCTGTCCTATTAAAAACCTGCTCAAGGGCCGGGGATTTAGCTCAGTGGTTCGGTGGCCTGCCTTGCAAGCACAAGGACCCGAGTTCAATCCCCGGTACCAAAAAAAGAAAAGAAAAACCTGCTCAAGCTCTCATGGGAAGAAATGAAGACAGCACTCTCTGGTTCTACATGCAGAGCTTTGGAAACTCATCTACACATGTATCCTGAGACTTCTCAATTAACAAGTCATGCCCACTTCCACAGCCAGTCTACCACATACTAATTAATCTCCTGCCTCACAAGGGGTGATAAAACAATACAGTGCTTATTTTAAATAATTTTTAAAAATGTATGTAATTCCAGCTCTTTGGGAGACTAAGGCAGGAGGATACCCAGTTCAAGACCAGCCTGGACAATTTAGAAAGACTTTGCTCAAAATTTAAACAAAAAGAAAGAACTTTTGTTTTTTTATTTATTTTTTTGGTATCGGGGATCGAACCCAGGTCCTTGTGCTTGCAAGGCAGGCGCCAGAACCTCTGAGCTAAATCCCCAGCCCCAAAAGAAAGAACTTTAGATTCTATGGCTAACTTAGAGTTAAATTAAACATTCATTTCCTTATGTACTCATTATTCATTTAGTTGCTCTTAAGCTAAAGATCAAGATTCTTAAATTGGATTTTAAGATCTAGCAACTATCTCTTCAGCCTCACCTTGCACCACTGTTCCTTCTGTCACCATGATTTAAAACACACCAGGCATATTTGAGTTTCTCAGACATGCCATTTTCCTTTTGACCTCAAGGTTATTAAACATATCACAGCCTCACTTCTAACTTCTATTTTCTGCTACACATTGCTCAGATCTGAGCTCAAGGCTTACTTCCTCGGAGGCACCTTTCCTTACCCTCAGGTCAAAGTAAGTTCTTCTGTTACATGCCCTCACAGGATGTATGAACAAATAAAAGTATGTTCACCTAAACAACAGGATGCTGTGCAGCCCATAAGTGTAAGATAAGTGCCTTGGAATGGCTGCCACCATTCCGATAAGTAACTTCTTTCTTCACCTTAAAGTTTCCATTTCCTGCCGGGGGTGATGGTGCACACTTGTAATCCCAGCACTCAGGAGGCTGAGGCAGGAGGATCGCTGTGAGTTCGAGACCAGCCTGGGCTACACAGTGAGTTCCAGGTCAGTCTCAACTACATAGTGAGACTCTGTCTCAAAAAGCAAAAAACAAAAAACAAAACAAAACAAAAAATTTCCATTTCCTACATCATGCATCCCTGGCCATAAATAAAAACTGGCATGCGACCAAGGCTTGTCCGTATAAGGAATGAATGTCCAAGAATGGTGGCTGCCCGTGTAGCTGACATGATCCCCAACCCGCCTGCACTAGTCATCCACTATATAACCAAGCCCCTTCCCCACTCCTTCCCTCTCTCCTTTGTTCCCTCTTGAGGAGTGCCTAGCAGGCTGCCTGCCCCAGACCCTCTACAATAAAATCTCTCATAGGAGCTCTATCCAGCTCTGTCAGTGTGTGGAGTGATCTTTGGCAGGAGCTGGTTTCTTTCAATAAGTAGGATAATTTAAATCTTTAATTATCAATCTAAATTTTTTCTACCATCATATACGATGGTTTCTCCTTATATAAATCACATGCATTTGTACAGACAGAAAAACAGTCTGAATATACACATACCAAAATATTAAGAGTAATTATCTCAGGATAGTGGAGTTAAGGAAGATTAACAAAAAAGTTTCATTATGGTTTTGTTTTCATATGAACTTTATAAATGTACATTAGAAATGTATGTAAATATAAATTATATGCAAAATATAAAAGTGAAAGCATAGGTAAGCTTTACAATTAAAAATTTATGTATAATAAAGAAATAATATATTTAAGATATTTGTTAATGGAAAAATAAGTTGGAGAAGTCATAAAGATCATACCTTTCATACCTTTAGCTTACCACTGAGTACCTCCTGGACGGACTGGAGCAGGTCTCTCAACATGCGTTTCATGGAGGAACCCTTGGGGGCTCAAGTGACTGGGGCTATCTGTGAAGGACTCCTGAGGGAGTTCAGGGAGATCAAGGATGTCCAGGTCCAACACTGAAAGAAAGACATCAGATGACACCTCCGAAGCAGGAAAAGTGACGTGGCTTAGCAGTGAGAACTTTTGCACATCAGGGTGGACAGCTTTGCTACTTGCTCTGTGGCCCTCATGCAGTACCTTTCCTCTTCCATGTCTCGCTTTTCTGAATTACAGATTCAGTGTTCTCAAAGGTTTTCCTAAGCTACGAGGATTTTAGGGACTAAGCCGTAGTTGAGCAGTGAAGAACGCAGACTTTAAAATCTCACTTTGAGACTAGTTTGAATCTTTGTTCTACCATTAGTCATAGGACCTTTATCAAATTAGTTTGCCTTCTAGAATCTCAGTTTTTTCATCTGTAAAAGGGAGCCACTGTAAGGACTGAATGAGGCAATATGCACAAAGTACAGATCTTAGTATCTGATACATGGGACGCATTTTAGTGACAGGTTTTTATTTGTTCGTTTTGTATGATTTGTTTTGAGTTTGGTGCTAGGGACTGAATTCAGGGCTCTGCACATGCTAAGCCAGCACTCTACCATTGAGCTACCCAGTCCAGCACCACTGTTTTTACTCAAACTCACAAAGTCTAGTGCTTTGTGGATAACTGTTTCTTCCTACTGGACCAAGCTGAGAACTGAGTGCTGGAGGCATTTCCTTTTTGAACTGGGACATATTGTATGTTGATCAAGGTTATGGGCTTCAGAGCTGGCTTGCCTGGGTTTGGAAACTGCCTCTGTGTCTTTTTAGCATTCTGACCTATGTGACATTAATTTCTCTTAGCCCTTTTCTTTATTCTCAAAATGAGAATGACAATAGACTCTACTTCATTTGGCGGATATAGATTTAAAACCAAGAAGTTATCAGTAACTTCCTGAATGACAATGATTGCAATATTATTCGTAGTCTTTACAGCCTAAATGCCTCAATTGTCCAACATAAAATCTCTCATTCTTATTGCGCTAATAGTCCTACTATTTTCTCTTAAATGCATCTATCATTTGAAGTTTTCAACTTTTGGTCTCCTGAATGTCTCTTCTGCATATTTTTCACCCTCCCTACCATATTTTTGTCCTCTATTAGTTGCAGTAATTGAAATTAAGTTCAGGTCAGGTCTGATCTTTGCACAGGTGATTCCTTCCACCTGCATTTCTCCTTCCTTCTCCCACCTCTTAACACTTAACTCCTACTTGTACTTCAGGTCTCAGGTCCAGGGTGCCTGTCCTGGATCCCTCATTTGCCTGTATTGATTAAGTGCCCTCCCAGCTACAAAGAAAGCTTTTATATCCACTCTAAGCCCCCAGTGCCCACCATACAGGTTACCCTGAGTTCCAATTGCCCATTTATCTGTAAGTACACTTTTGTATTTGTTCACTGCTATCCTCTACGGGTAGATCAGGCTTAGAGTACAGCAGTGCTTCAATAAATATTTGTTGAATGAATGCATGCATGAATATAGTTCCTCAAACAAATCAAAATCTTTCCTTACTCATATACATATTATTCCATCTACCCAGAATGCTCTTTTCTCTGCTTCTCACGAGTTGCCCTTTCTTATCTCTTTGAAGCCTCTAGATTTAAGTAGCATCTCCTACAGGTGTTCACTGACAACCATAGTTTAGGTTCCCATCTTCCTTAGTTTTTGCCTTGGCCTCTTGTTAAACTCTTCCATAGTGCTTACCACAACTTATAATTACTTAAGTTACCATCTATTAACTTTTCTGGTGACTTTCCTGCACTATTGTGTCAGGTCCATGAGGGCAGGAACCAATTCAGTTATATGCACAGTTGTGGGCCTGCAGCTGGTACTCAATGAATGTTTGTAGAAGAAATGAGATGGTTATTCTGCAGGCTAATCTAGATCCCACCTTCTGCATAAAGTATTCCCATTCTATGTCAACCACACTCACCTTTCCCTTCTCGGAGTCCCTCTAGCATGCACATTCAACGGCAGGGTCTGTGGGATCATTTGTCTAAGGACTGAGTCTAGTTTCCTGAATGCCTAGAATAATATATCTTATTATATTTTGCCAACCATATTCTGAAGTCTCAAAGTCAAAGATCAAATCTATTGTTAATAGCTGGCAACCCAGTAAGTATTCAATCAGTACCCCCTGGCTTGACTTTAACAGGGCTGGATTGTAGCTCAGTGGTAGAGTGCTTGTCTAGTATGTGTGAGGCTTTGGATTTGATTCCCAGCGCTGGAAAAGAAAAAAGAATTCCTACCCACATAAAATCTTTAAAAAAATAATTTCCCTTTTAACCTGTAAGTTCGCTACTACTTGAGTTTTTTTTAATATCCTCCAAATTGCTCAGCTCCAAATCCACACTTCCAAAATCATCAGAAGCACAGGGGATCACTACTTCTTGATCACAAATCCTAGAAATGGAAAACAGATTTCATCAGTTAGTTTTTCAGAACTGCTTTTGTCTCGTTATTCAATTGAAAGCCTAAGTGTCCCCTTCTCAGAGAGCCATGTACCGCTCAACAATATGCATTGAGTATCCTCTCTCCACCACAGCCCAGTTATTTTTTGTCATAGCATTTAATCATCAACAACAATTATCTTATTCATTGTGTTCATTCATTTGACTGTCTCCTATTAAAATATAAATTCCCTTAAAGGAGAAACCTTGTCTACGCGGCACTCACTGTATCCCCAGCACCTACAGACTGTCAGCCTCATGAGGAATGAATGGATTGGTGAGAAATACTAAACTGTTACAAACAGATTGAGGAGAATAACCCCCTCCCAACCTACCTTAAGTCTCCTAACCTACTTTTTTTTCCCATACCATATAATACTTTTTAATATGTTATTTACTTCTTGTTGTTGGGGCTCAAACCCAGGGCCTTGTACATGTTAAGCACATACTCTACCATGGTGCTACACAGTCAGCCGAATTCATTCACTTATTATGTTTATTGTTTACCAGCTATTTTCTCCTGGTAAAATGTAAGCTTGAGGAAGGCAAAGATTTTGGCTGCTTTCAATGTATCCCAAGGGCCTAGAACAATGCCTAGCATGTGGTAATACTCAATAAAATTGGCGCAGTGATTCAGTACTACCTTTATTATTATTATTTTGTTTTGTTTTCTTGAGACAGGGTCTCACTATGTACTTGAAACTGACCTGGAACTCACTATGTAGCCCAGGTTGGTCTCGAACTCACAGTGATCCTCCTGCCTCAGCCTCCCGAGTGCTGGGATTACAGGCGTGCGCCACCATGCCTGGCTTTGAATGTTTAACATAGATCAAAGCATAAGAAAGAAAAGTTGCCAAACAGTGGCTATGATATGATCCCACTTTTATTAGGACAAAACAATATATACATATTTGGACCCACTTTCTCTTTAATAAAAGAGAGGCTTTGCTTCTCACTTATGGGATGGTTCTATATATGTAGGCCTTCTTCCATATATTTGACTGAGTTTATTATAGAGGAATGGAACAAATGGATTTTAAGACAGAAGAGGTAGAAACACAAATGGATGTGGGCCTCCGATCCACAGGCCTCAGCAGTCCTGCCGTGGATCCGCCCGATGTTTTCGCATCAAGAAGTTGATCTTTTGAGCCATTTCCATGTTGTAGATCTGCCGCTGTCCTTGGCTGCAAGGCTTCTCGTAGTATCTTCATCACTTAATGTCCTCAATGAGCCCATCCACGGTAAGGATTCTGTTCAGTGTCCTGTATGTACCTTCCACGTTCCCTTCATGTGCCATCACAGTCCTGGCAATGAACTTCAGGTGTTTTTCCGTGACCTCAGATGGAAGTCTTCACTCTGCAGGAACTTTCTTCTCCACCCCCAGCTCCCAAAACAATATTTTTGCAAAAGTAATAAGTATGCATGTACATATATATACACATTTACATACACAAATGTTGGAAAATTTAGAAAACCAGAATTCAATACAAACATTTGTGGAGTGAAATTGTGGGGGGAAAATTTTAGTTGTTATACTTCCATATTGCTTAAAATTTGTAATGTTGGGCCGGGCATGGTGGTGCACGCCTGCAACCCCAGCACTTGGGAGACTGAGGCAGGAGGATCGCTGTGAGTTCGAGACCAGCCTGAGCTACATAGTGAGTTCCAGGTCAGTCTGAACTACATAGTGAGACCCTGTCTCAAAAAACAAACAAACAAAAATTGTTGGCATGAATATTAATTTTTTGTTGTTGTTGTTACTGGGGATTGAACTTGGGACCTTGTACTTGCAAGGCAGGCAGTGGAACCACTGAGTTAAATCCCTGGCCCGTGAATATTAAATGTTGACAAAGATGTAGGACAAAAATAAATCATACATACTGCAATTGCAATTGGAAGTGTAAATTGATAGAATCACTTTGGAAAAAACTTGGCATTCTCTAGTAAAGTTGAAAGTGTGAATATGCTGTGATTTATTATTCTACTCCTAGGAGTGTATTGTAGGGAAGCTCCTCTGTGTGTACCAGCACTACGTATAAGACTGTTCATAGCAGTAGTCATCATAGGAAAACTGGAGCCATCAACGGCAAGACAGATAAACAGATAAAGTGAATGAATTCTAGATACACATAGCTAGAGCTAAATCCTACAAACATGGTGAGAGGAAAAAGAAAGAGATGGGAAGAATATGCAGTGAATTCCACTTATTGCAAAACTAAAAAAACACTTCTTGGAGTTATAAGAATACACAGGAAACTAAGGAAAAAAAAAGCAAGAAAACAGTGTCATCTGCAAGATGCGCTGCCTCAGATTCTTAGATGGGAGAGAAGGGGTTGGAATGGGTAGGTTCAGAAAGAAGTTCAAAAGTTATGATTATGATGTGTGTATGTGGGAAAGGGTGTACTGGTATTGAACCCGCGGCCTTACTGAGCTACTTCCCCAATTCTTATTTTTTATTTTGAGACAAGGTCTCACCAAGTTACTAATTTGCCCAGGCAGGACTTGAACTTAAGACTCTCCTGCCTCGTGCTCCCAGAGTGCTGGTACTGCAGACATGAGCCATTCCATTAGGCTGGTTATGGTCTTTCCTTAACAGGATACTTGGTGCATGGTTTCACTTTATCTTTTTTCCTCACATGATTTTTGGTTTTGTTATTTGAGACAGGGTCTCACTACGTATTCCAGGCTAGCCTTGAATTTACTATATAGCCCAGGCAGGCCTCTAATTCATGGCAATCTTCCTGCTTTGGCCTCTTGAGTGCTATTACACACATAGCTTACACATGTTCTATAAATATATAGCTGCTTTTAAAAATAATTTTGGAAAAAAATACAGACCATAAAATTTGAACTTTATCTTGTGTGCATGTATTTCAATAATAATGATAATAATAGTTGAAAACAAATCAGCCAACCCCTAGAAGTAGGTGGTTAGGTTGTATAGTAATTTGCAAAATTGATTTTTTTTTAAGTTACTCGGGATTGAACCTAGGGTCTTGCATATGAACCCTGGCAAAGCACTCTACTACTGAACTACATTTTGAGTTTTTTGGGGGGGTGGACAGGGTCTCACTATATAGCTCAGACTGGCTTTGAACTCACTACGTAGCCCAGGCTGGCCTCAAACTCAAAACAATCCTATTGCCTCAGCCTCCCCCATGCTGGGGTTTCAGGTGTGCAACACCACACCTTTTTAAAAAATTTTATTTTGAAAGAGTCTAAGTTGCCCAGGCTCACCATGAATGTGAGTTCCTCCTGCTTCAGTCTTCTGAGTAGCTGGGATGACAGGAATGTGCCACCATGCCCAATTTAAAACTGACTTTTTAAGAAGTTGCTTGTTGGGCATGGTAGCACATACTGTAATCCTGGCACTTGGGAGGCTGAGGCAGGAAGATCATTGTGAAGTTGAAGCCAGCCCAGGCTACATGGAGTTTAAAGCCAACCTGAAGTACATGGTGAGACCCTATTTTAAAACACACACACACACACACACACACACACAGAGACGATGGTGGTACAACTTAAATTCCCACTAGCAGTATGTAAGAGTTCCACTTGCTCCACATCTTTGCCAACATTTGATATTTTTGGTCTTTTTTTATATTAACTAGTGGATACGCGCTGGTAGCTCTCTCTGTGGATATATATAATATTTATTTATTTACTTTGTTGAGACAGGGTCTCTCCACCTAGTCCAGGACAATGCTCTACTGAGCCACTTTTTGACCTGTCTCTTGTTGTCTCCTGTCTGTGCCTCTGCGCTTCCTACTTCAGCCCAAACTAAGCATAAGAGCTGTAGCAATCAAAAAAGTCATCCTGCCACCTACCCTAACATATCTGATTATGCCCCATCCCCAAAGATAGAGACTGGAGTGGTAGCTTAGTGCAAAGGCCCTAGATTTAATCCCAAGTACCAATCAAGCAACTACATGAAATATAGTAACAGTACATATGTCACATAATGGTGATAAGGGGTAAATGAAATAATGTAGAATGCTTGGTACACTGTCGGGCTGTGTTGTAAATGCGCAATAATTGGAGCTATTAGTACTATGTGCTTAGGTAAGTGTCTTCCATATTTGAATCTGTTAAATCTGTAAAATTATAGGCTCCTCGCAGAATTACTATAAAGAATCACTGATATGCTTTGCAAATCAGATAAAACTTTACCAAGTAGGTCAATTATTAACAATTGAGCCGGGCGTGGTGGAGCACGCCTGTAATCCCAGCACACGGGAGACTGAGGCTGGAGGATCACAGGAGACCAGCCTGGCTACATAGTGAGTTCCAGGTCAGTCTCAACTACATAGTGAGACCCTGTCTCAAAAAACCAAAAAAAAAAATTGAACCGTTCATCTTTGTAGGCAACTGCCATAATTTTCTAGAGCAAAATAATTTCTTTCGACTGTACTCCGCTCCCTGCCCACCCGACCCTCCTCCGGTTCCTTTAAAATCAACCGGGCTTCGGAGAGACAAGTGAATGACACAGCGGTCGGCCAATCACTGCAGTTGGCCAATCAAAGGCGGCCCCGTTGCCGGCCCATCCCCAGCCCTCGTTCAATCGCATCCGGGTAGCATCCAGAATAAGACCGTTGCGAAGCGGTCGGTTCCAAGTGGGCCGGGGCGCGGGGGAGGACACAGCCCTGGACGCGGAAACTCCGAGGCCTTTTGAGTGCGAGAACTGGAATCCCCGCCGCAGCTTCAGGGAGCGGCTAGGTGCAGTGTAACCACGGAGACTGACCTGTGCCTGGAGCCCATCCCGACAAGCGGAGCCTGCCGTGAGTCCCTGGTGTCCCCTACGGCGCGCTCGTAGAGCCACCTTCCCGAGCGGAAGTTAGCCTGCGGACCGGACTCCGGTGGGACCTGCTCGGAGGAATGGCGCCGCCGGGTGAGGTGTTGCGCATGGCTCAACGAGGGACCTCCGCGGCCGGCACCTCTTGGGGAGTGGGCTGTAGCCCGGGAGAGGCTACTTCCGGCCCCTCGGGAGCTGGCCAGGCGTGATCTCCTTTCTCTGCGGGGCAGGGGCATGGGCTTGGGCTTTTGGGGGGTCGGTGGACTGACCGAGGGTTGCGAGCTGGTTGGGAGTGTCCACTACCTGCGGGGGTTGTGATGGGGTGGTGCGACGCGGAGCTACGGGTCCCTGGAAGGCCCAGCCGGCAGGACTGCGGCCGTGCTTAACCTCGACCTAGTTTTCCTCATTCATTTGCTTTGTGCGAGCAAGCCTACGAGCTGTCGCGGAGCCACCCATCACTTGGAGTGAGCTTTTGGCTAATTCCTCTGTCCTTTTGGCCGTAGTTTCCTTTTGACAATCGTAGGCAGGAAAATTGTTCACTTCTTTCTGGGAGTTTAAAGCATAGAATCTGAAGTCAGAGTCAACCGTCTGCCATGTATTCATTATGTGACCCAGCTCGTTACTTAACCTCTCTGCATCCCAGTTTCTCACCAATAAAATGTTACTGACATTATCTACTTCTAGAGTTCTGTATTAAATGAGGTAATCTCCGTGCATATTTTAGAACAGGGCATAACATTGTTGGTTATTAAGTGGATACTGCAGGTTGGCATCTCGTGTCTTCATCACAGTTTGGATTTGTGCTTTTGTTATTACCGTTACGCAAATGAGAAGTTGGAATCCCAGATAAGGGAATTAATTTGCCAAAGTATCACAATGTTTGGGCTCATTACTCTGCTAGTTGAGAAATGGAGCATGGTGAAGTGGTTTAGTTCGGAATTTGGATTCAAAATGCGTGCATTTGATTCTCAAGTCCTTTTTTTGCCCCAAGGCAGGGGCAGGTAACTACTTCTGACACTCAGTTTCTTTGTGAAGCACAGAAGTTGGCCACTTCATTTGGATGTTGTGAGGTGTTAATGATTTATTGAATATGATGATATCCTTAGAATAGTTTGGGACTACCCCCACACATGATAATGCTCAAATTGTAGCCAGGAAGGATTATTGTTGTCAAGAGTGAGAAGATGAAGATTTTGACACGAGTCTGTGCTAGGAGAATTTGTAGCTGAGAAAATGATAGTCGTAGTCACTCACCAGATTGAGTACTTACTGCATGTACATTTGGCAGTGGGGATTCAACATTAGTACCCGGACACCTCTTTCTCTTAATCGATTAGCAGTTCTTACAGGCTTTAATTTTGAATTCTAGCCAGACTATGGCCATTTCTTGTCACCTCCTCTCCTGTTGCCCACGTTCAGACCACCCTGATATCTGTTTACTTGGGTTGTGGCTGTAGTAGTCTAATTTGTATCCTTCTGTTTTTGCTCCTCCATAGTCTGTTCTCAGTGTAGTATCTGCTCTCAACCCAGAAATCCTACATCAAAACACTCCTCTATTCAGAGCTTTCCAGCAGCTCCCATCTCACTTAGTAAAACCTGAAGTCTCTTCAGTGACGTATAAGATAGGCCCTTTGGATTTGCCTCTGCTTCCTGTCACTTGTCCCTTTGCTTACCTCACTCTGGCCGTACTTTTCCTTGGTGATCTCAAAAAATTTCATGTATGCTCCTGATTGAGTTGTTGTACTAGCTTTTCTTGGAATAGTTTCTTCCTAAATATCTGCATGACTTGATTCTTTTTTTTTTTCAAGTCCACACTTAATATCTATTCCTTCCTTGGACCTTCGCAGACTGTACTGTATTTAATCAACAACCCTTCTCAGATATTCCTTCTGTGTTTTTTTTCTACCTAGTACTTTTTGTCTTCTTACGTGATAAATTGTGTTTCTTATTTATTTCATGTGATGTTTTTCTTTTCTTGGTAGAACATAAGCTGTATGGAAGAGGGTGTTTCTGCTGTATTTTTAGCATTTGGTTCACCATAGCATTCTTTGTATGTATGTGTATATGTATAAAAATATAAATATATTTTATGTATAAATATATGTAGTATGATTGAAAAAATACAGTGAATTTTAATTTTTAAAAATGTTATTACAGTAAAAGATACATTGCCATTAATCTACCTTAAAATACTTCCTTTTTATTTTTGGTACCAGTGATGGAACTTGGGTCCTTGCACTTGTGAGGCAGGCAGTAGAAACATTGAGCTAAATCTCCGGCCCGCTTCCCTTTGCTTTGAAGACACTTATCCCATTGTTCTTGTCACTTTGTGAAGCAGTTCTAAATGTCATTCTTCATGAGTGTCTTGTACTGTCGTGGCTGCCTCAATGTCTTAAATCATTTTAAAATGTTTTCCTTTCATGGCCATTTTTATTTGGGGAAGAGCCAGAAGTTGTACAGTGCCAGAGCTTGATGAGGGCATACCTTAATATTTTTACAAGCCTACCTTTCTAGAGAATGGCATTCAACACCAGCATTAATATTTTTCTTTTTTGTACGTAGATCGAACTCAGCTTTGCACTTGCCATGCCTGGTGCCACTGAGCTAAGCCCCCGTCCCCGCTTTATTGACGGTATTTTTGATCCTCCATTGTAAAGACAGTCGTGAAGGAGTACCTCCAGAAGTGCTTCAGAAAGTGGCAAGAACCATGTGATATGTGTTCACAGTGAAGGGGAGTATTTAGGGGATTAATGGCAATGTATCTTTTATAATAATTTAAAAATATCTAAACATTACTATTTTAATCATAACACACGTTTACACTTATTTATTTATTTATTTATTTGGTGGTCCTGGGAATTGAACCCAAGGGTCTTCACACTGAGCTACATCTTCAGACCTTTTTACTTTATTTTTTTTGAGACAAGGTTTCCTTAAGTTGCCCAGGCTGGGCTTCAACTTGCAATTTTCCTGCTGCCTAAACCACCCAGAGTGCTAGGATTACTGACTGCATTCAGTATATTTTTGATGGATATTTCACATTATAGATCTTTGGGTTTGTTTTTGTGATACTGGAGATCAAACTGAGGCATTCTAGGCAAGTGCTCTACCACTGAGCAACAACCCTAACCTACTCTTTGTGTTTTTTTAAAGAAATTTCACATTTAAGTTTACACACACACACACACACACACACACACACACACACGGTCTTAAATGGAATGACTGTTCATGGGAGAATGGTTTGATTTATCTGCAATGTAGATTTTTTTTCTAGAATATTCTCCAAAAAAAAAAGTGGTGTAAGACCTGGGTTTCTGTCTAAGATTTGATATATATAAACTACTCTCATTCTCAGTTTTCTTATTTGTAAAATAGATATAATAGAGGTTTTCTTAAGGGATTCTATTTGATGTTAAATTTGCTACTAGAGGCAAAGTATGTAGGACCATAAAATATTATTATTGCTTGTTTCTGCTTTTCATGTGGGTTGCAGACAGTTAACTTTATCATTGAGGCAGTATATTCAAAAGTGATTTTTTTTTGTTTGTTTTTTCTGTTTTGAGACAGAGTCGCTATATAATTCAGGCTGGACTTGAATTCATTTGTATAGCCCAGACTGGCCTTGAACTTAGGCAGTCCTCCTGCCTCAGCCTCTTGAATGCTGGAATTATAGGTGTGTGCCACCATGCCCAGCTATTCTAAAATCTTTCTGTATTAACTCATTGGATGATATGTTTTATCTATCTAGCATGTGAAGAAGCAGAGAGGCTGCCATGATCACCTTGCTAATAAATGTAGGGCTGCGATTTCAGCTTGGAACCAGAGGCCAGGTTTTGCCCTACTTTGTTGGGGACCTAATTCAAAGGAGGGCTTCTTAAAGAAGAGATATTTAACAACATTGAAGCAAAGTTGAAGTAGAGGAAAGCATGAAAAAGAGCAGGGGTAGGAAAGAACTTGGCCTCTTAAAGGAACAGAGGCCAGAGAGCATGAGATGTTGGGAAGAGTGAGGAAGGAGATCTGATTGAGGGGTAGACAGACCTTAGGATTGGTTTTGTTCTATTCCGTCCTAAGAGCATAGGATTTATGAACGAACTTAAATGGGAATGGTGTGATGAGTCCTATGCTGGAGCTGCCTGGAGCTTTTAGAACTATCCTGACAATAGAAGACCAAGCTCACTAATCCCTGGTCTCCTCCTGGGTTATACCTCCTGAGCCCATTACCCTTTCCCACATGATCGGGTCTTCAGATGTTGGTGCTCATCATTTTGGGGACTTCAGGTGTAGCACGTGGTAGTCATGTGTTGTGTGTTTACTAGTCATTTTCTCCTAAGGTTCAAGTACTGTCTTCCTGTTGGCACTGACAATCATAGTCAGCACCCAGGCTCTGACGCCTACTCACTACCTCACCAAACATGATGTGGAGAGATTGAAAGCCTCCCTGGACCGTCCTTTCACAAGTTTGGAATCTGCCTTCTACTCCATCGTGGGACTCAGCAGCCTTGGGGCCCAGGTGCCAGATGTAAAGGTAAGGCTTCTCTTATTTTGGTGTCTAAGATATTTCAGGTATTTTAAACCCATGCACATTTGGGGAGAACCAGGCTAATTGCATGTAAGAACTATTTATTTCAATTTGGCAAATTTTTTAGAGTACCTGATGTGTATTTGGGTTCATGCCAAGTGTTTTTAGTGCAAATCATTGATCCTCTAGAAATTTGTACCACAGCTCTGAATGAGACTGTTTAAAACCATATCTACTTGTAAAGTGCCCAGGTCTGTAGCTAATATTTATACTAAGGAAATTCAAGGTGGGGGCACTCATGTATTAAACAGTGACAGTCACTGCATCAGAGAATTCTGATTTTTTTTTACTTTTGATGAGAGCGTAACATAATTAAAACCTTTTCTGGATTTAAAAAAATGTTAAGTGAATTTGCACTGTATTCATTACAGTAGCATGGACAAATTACTATCAATTTAGGGTTAAAAAACATCACACCTATTTATCAGTGCTAGTTCTACAGGTCAGAAGTCTAGGCTGGCTTGCTTGGGCTCTCTGCTTAATGTCTCCCAACGTCAAGATGAAGGGACTAGCTAGGCTGAACTTTTAACTGGAGAAGAATCTGTTTTGCTGTAGATCTGCTTCATGATGTTGGCAGAATCCACTTCCTGTGGTTATAGGTCTGAGGTCCCCATTTCCTTGCTGGCTGTTAGCCTAGGACAGTGGTGGTGAACCTCTGTCATGCATGCCCGCTGTGGAACTGTTTGTTATCATTGCAAGCTCTAAGAGGTTTGCCATCACTGGCCTAGGGCT